CATGGGGACATTTTGGGACCATTTGGGACAATAGGGACAACTGCAGACATTGGGGATGATGGGGACAATTGAGGTGTTGGGGACAATTTTGAGTGTTGGGGACAAGTTGGGGACATTCGTAGATATTGGGAACAATGGGGACAATTTGGGACACTGGGGACATTTGGGACGTTTGGGGACAATTTGGGATGCTGGGCACACTGGGGACAATTTGGGACATCGGGGACAATTTGGGACCATTTGGGACAATAGGGACAACAGCAGACATTGGGGATGATGGGGACAATTTGGGGTTTTGGGGACAATCTGGGGTGTTGGGGACAATGGGGACATTCATAGACATTGGGAACAATGGGGAGAATTTGGGACATTGGGGACATTTGGGACGTTGGAGACAATGGGGACGTTTGTAGACATTGGGAACAATTTGGGATTCTGGGGACAATGGGGACAATTAGGGACATCGGGGACATTTGGGACATTGGAGACGGTGGGGACGTTTGTAGACATTGGGGACATTTGGGGACCATTTGGGACAATAGGGACAACAGCAGACATTGGGGATGACGGGGACAATTGGGGACACTGGGGACGATTTGGGACAATTTGGGAGATGGGGGACATTTGGGGACGATTTGTGATAACGGGGCCAATTTGGGACGTTCGTAGAGCTTGGGGACATTTTGGGGACACCCGAAGATGTTGGAAACACTTTGGGATGTCGGGGATGATGGGGATATTGGGGACATTGGGGACATTTGGGGACATTTGGGGACGTACCTGGGATGTAGAGGTCGGGAGCGTTGACGTCGAAACGGGGAGCAACCGGACCGTCCTGCTGGTAGTGAACCTGCCAGTCCTGGGAATGGGATCGGGATTGGGAATGGGATTGGGATGAGTGGGGAAAGAAAGGAGATCAGAAACGGGATTGGGATCGGAGGTGGGAATGGGGCTGGGAATGGGAATGGGAATCAACAGGAAAAGAAATGAGGTCAGAAACGGGACTGGGATCGGAGGTGGGAATGGGGCTGGGAATGGGATTAGGATGAGTGGGGAAAGAAAGGAGATCAGAAACG